GGTATCGCTGAGTTTCCTCCGTCAGATAAGGCTCCGCTGCATCTTTACGGCTGCGGTTCCAGTTTTCTGATGTTGAAAGAAAGGCGGCAGGGTAGGAGAGGGGGGAGACCAGCCTTGCCGGCTTGCTCTTCCCCAAATCTCCCCGGCTGGGGATGCTTTCCCGTCGCTACAGCAACACCTACCGACCGGCGCACGGCGCGGACGGGGAGCGCTCCCCCCCCCCCCCAAATCCCCCGAAGTAAAAAATCGGGGTTTTCACAGCACACCTGAGAAAAGGGTAAAAAATTGGGGATGGGGGGATCCTCCTAAGTTTTCTCAGTGTGTATTTTAATTTTGCCCCCTCCTCCCCCCCTCGGCATCTTTCGGAGTGTCTGTCACCTTCGAGTTACATAATGTCGCTGTAGGAAGAGGCTGACACGTAGGGACAGCCCTTTCCTAAAGCAGCCCTGCCTCGCCAACGTCTGTACTGACAGCGCCTCGGTGGGGTGGGGAGAAAACCCCCACGGCCATCCTCAGACCTCAGAGTCCCGCAGTTTGTTACAGGGAACTCATCGGCAGTTGCTATTTCCTTTTCTTCTTCTTTTTTTTTTTTCTGTCCCTCCCCCATGAGAATATTTTTATTGTTCCTCTGCTGAGCACTTTGCAGATGAGGCCCGTCGAGGTTAGGGGGTTAATTTTCGGGATGGTGCGTTTGTTCTCCGTGCGGAGAGGAGAGAGACTCTGCAGCTCCCGGCAAGCCTTTAATAATTCAGCGCAGGAAATGTGTGCGTATATATAGCAGGCAAGGTAATGCACAGCGTGTACCTACAGGAGGACAAATATGGAAACCTGGTGTGAATTATTCATGAGGTGTAATCAAATAGAGGATTTTCCTAGACAAAGCACACTTTGCTGTTTTCATATTTATTACAGCACAATCTGCACCGAGTACATTTGAACCTTGTTTCATTCGGACCGTGTCAGATAACCTTTAATGTATTTGCTAATATTTCTTATTTACCTTTCAAGCTGTCAGCGAGAAGGGCTTGCCAGAAAAAAATCTGAAAAGCCCTCTTCTTTGTGGCTTTCTGGAAATTAGTAGATGGAGAAAAGGCTTCTGATGCTCTTCCCAGGGAAGGCGTTTTGCCTGTTCTGTCTCTGGCAGGAGAATAAACTCGTGGTGCTACGAACTGATTCATGCTCCTGCTCCACGGCACGGGGTACTTTGGGCTTTGCTGTTGCATAGTAGGCACAGGCTATTTTTAACTGGAGCAAGGTTATGAAACCTTAGACCCAGCTGGGTGAATATAATCTGGTCTGAACTGGAAAGCGCAGCTCGTGTGGCTGGGAACATGAGCGGGACCGTCCCCTGGAGGGTCCCAGTGGGGCGATCCCAGTCAGCCCCGAAGTTGGGAAGTGTTGTCATCGTGGAGGCTGTCACAGCGGCACTGGGGAAACCACTTAAATATGCAAATAATTAAAATCGTTAAATGAATGAGCAATGAATCAGTGTTGATAGCGCAGTGATTATTAAGAAACCTAGAGGCATCACTGGAATCACCACTGTGCTAGACATCAAATATCTGGGATGGCTAACTGGGAAGTTCAGCTCCACACCAGTTTTTGGTGATACTTGCACCAAGGTCGTGTGACCCACAATAAGCAGCGGTGTGCAAGTCAGCAGTGACCCCAGACCCCCAAAGGTTTGCTCCAGAAGTCGTGTTTGAAGCCGTACCTGGCTAAAATATGCAGTGGTGTTTTTAAACTAATATTTACTCCTGCTAGACCTGCACAGCCACTGCGGCTCTGGGGGAGGGAGCAGGAGCTCCTCTGACTCATGGCTCAGCAGAGTTGTTAACTCGCTCCTGGCGCCTGAGCCCTCATCCTGGTGTGCTGGGAAGAGTCCACCTTGGCTTCCTGGACTGCAGGCAGAGACGGCTGTGATTGTAAAGTTGGCAGACCAGCTCAAAAAGTCACTGGAAAATAAATACTTACAGTGCACTGAGGCTTGGTTTTTTTTTTTTGTTTCTTTGTTTGCTTTTCACTCAAATTGATTTGCAGAAGAAAGTTTTCTTTCAATAGCTCATGCACAGATTTGGGATCCTTCCATTCTTTAGGATGCTCCACTGACAGAAACCCCAAAATTTAAAATCTCCTTGCTCATAGGTGTTCTCCTGCAATACTGTGAGAGTTGTGGCACAAGCAGACAGAGCTGCTGGACTTGCTGGGAGAAGTTCCCTTTGTCTTGCTTGCACTGCTGTGTTCGCCTGCTCGGTGCAAAGCACATCTACAACCCCACAGGATAACACTGAAACATCTTCTCTGCATACTTCTGCACAAAGCCTTGATGCCTTTTTGTGCAGTCTCTTATAAATGGACTAACTGGACACTGGAAGGGGTTGTAGTCGCCTTCCTCTGTGCTTGGCTAAACAAATGCCAAACCTTCTTAAGTCTAAATTACTCGAAATATTTACTGTTGAGACGTCGTCCAAGAGGAGGATAGTTAAAACATTAATTCCTCGCATTCCAGTGTATTAGGGCTTTACCCTGCGACTTGCTGAGTGCCAGAAATGGGACTTTGCAGATTTGATTCCCTTCCCCCAACTAGACAGCCACCACCACCCCACTCCCCCCACCCAAACTTTAATGCTTTAAGAAAAAAAAAAAGAGGGAGAGAAAAAGAAAGGAATGCACATCTGGGCTAAATATTTGTTAGAAAGTATTCCCAGGATAGTGGGAGTTCTGGTGCCAGAGAGGAATTCCTGCGGGTTTGATCCATTGCATTATGTACTTGTTCCAAAAGCTGTTTTCAGTAAAATAGATGAGTAAGAAGTCTTAGCCAAGAACAGAATGTCTTTTTTGGCAACTGAAAGGAAGATAGGATTATTTTATTTCAGGTTATGTAAAAAAAAAAAAAGGTGGTAAAATCCTGCATTCGTTGGTGCCTGCTGAGATTTGCAATGGCGAGCACAGGTACATAGGTATATATACCTTTTCTTCCGTGCTGCTGTACACATTTGGAGGACTTCTTTATAAGATGTCAATGTGAATTTAAGATTATTTGCATCATTACTGCAATTAAAATATCCTCACTGTAGCTGAACTTGCCTCTGGGTTTTTTTGGCTGAGTGGCCCGTGGTTTCAGTGACATGGCAATGTCCAAATCACTGCTGTGGATTCTGAATTCTGCCCCCAGGTGCTGGGGTGAGAAGGGGAAGAGAGGATCATCTTTGCCTTGACAGCAAACCCCCTGTCTGGAGGATGTTTTGGGGGCACATGCAAGTAGACACCAATGGGTGCAGCCCCACTACATCGTTTATACCTCCTGGGAAGGATTTGAAAATTCAACCTGGAAAATGTCGCACCCATAAATCAACTAAGAGGGGGAAGGCTTTCTGGGGGAAAATGAATGGGTTTTGGCTGGTGAGCATCAGGTTCACCATTTTTTTTTCCAATTGAGAATCATGTTTGCACAACACCTACTTTGCATTAACAAAACAATAGGTGTTTTGAATAAGACAGCATGCCAAAGGTATTTTTTTCTATGCATTTGGCTTATTCTCATAGATGGGGGAGGCACAGGCCTCCCTTCATCCTTCTGCCAGACATAGCTAATCAGGGATGATGGTGCAATTTTATTTCTTGTTTTAAAATACTATCTCATACACAGCTTGCCTTGGCTCTGGCTCAGGGTTTGTGTTAATTTGGTTAGGTTGCTGGGGGAAAACACTTTGGGTTTTTTCTTGCTGTGTGGGTTTGGGGGGGCAGTTGTGGCTTATGATGGGCACTGTTGGGTTTGCAGGAGACCTGAGTGTCAGGGCTGTGTTGCTCTGCAGCATTGTGGTGTCTACCTTCTCGCTTCTCTGGCAGTCCTGCAGACCATGTAAATCTTGGTAGCAATGGATGCCTGAGTTATCCCCATTTCAGCAGCATGATCTTGGCTGCACCACCCTCCAGTGCCTCCCGTGAGGCTTGGATGTGGTCAACATTGTTTCTCCAAGGGCATTTGCCATTGGACATGTGTCCTGTGGGCTTTTGGGGAAGCTGTTTTCTCCCTCCCTTGGCTAGACAGTGGCATCCTTCACTGGCAGTTTTGGAGGTGAGATGTGTTTTGGAGCTGCGAGCAGTTTTGTGGCACGAGCTGATGCTCTTTCAAGCCATGTGCATGATTTCTTGTAATGATTTTGTCCCCTCTGGGTGGATGATGGGGTCAGCTGGGATGAGCAAACCTCTGGCTGCAGTTCAGGCTTTGGTTTGGACCCCTGCTGTGGATTCGGAGGGCTTCTTTGCACTGGTGGTTTCTTAAAGCAAGTGCAAAACAGAGCAGAGTTTATAAATGCAGCCAAGTAGCTGGTTTGGGCATCGTGGCTGCTTGTGAGCTCTGCTTTGCTCAAAGGGTGCAGGCAGAAAAGGGGTTAACTCAGGTGTCAGGTAGGACATGTGCTACTGTGGCTGGAGGGTGGCCAAATCCACTTTCCCATCTTTTGGATTAAGGACAAAAAACCAACAACCTGTCTGTGGCAGAACCACATACAGCGGTGGGACTGCCAGGGAAGAGGAGGGATGGAGAGGATAACCTCTTCCCAGCCCACAGGTTCAGGGGGCTATAGTGGATGCGCTGGCCCCAGAGACGTGCATTGCAGGGAATGATTAACTTTCTCAGGCTGGAGCTACTTCACCCAGGGATTTTTTTGACCTTTTAGGGGACTGTTGTCTCCTGGGAAGCTGTTGGTAAGCATAATTAATGAGGGCTGGCACAGGGCTTTGAAGGCACAGCGTGTGCTCCCATCCTGCTACATGTTACTGTGCGACGCTATCAAGGTACTGAGAATCCCATGGTTGAGATTTTGAAGCTGGTGCGGTTTCTGCGCTGCCTGCTCAGGGCTGTTGGGAGGGCGGGGTTAGTGTTTTGTTGGGGTTTTTTGGTTTTGGGGTGGTTCTTCTTTTCTTTTCTTTTTTTTTTTTTTTCTTCAGGGACTGAAATTAACTTCAGACATGCAAAAGAGGGTGAGAAAGTGCTACAGTTAGAAGAAATTTGGCCGGTGGAGGAGCTTCAGCTGGCAGGAGAGGATGGGGACTGGGTATTTGGCACCCCATATCTGCACTGTCCCTGTCCCTGGGATGTATGTGTCCATCCCCATGTCATCTGAATCTTAGGGATGCTTTAGGGTTTGTGTAATTACCTATGGTTTTATTGGTGAGGTGGCTGCTAGCATCCCATGTCACTGGGGCTCTCCCCTCTTGCTGGAGGTTTCTGGGCTAGGGCTGCATCTCTTCCACTATGGTTGTGCCTTGCAGCCTGGTGGGATAGGGTCAGAGTAAGTCACTGGTCCAGCAGCAGCCTGGTTCTCAGCTTTGGGTATAGCTTCAAAATAAGCTAGCAGTGACTTACGCTGAAGCAGAAGTATCTGGTACACTGTTGCCAGCATCTAAAAGGAGAAACAGTCCATAACCTAGGCAAGAGCATCTCAGGTTATGGGGGTTGTGTTATCTGTTAGCCCATTGTAGGCAAAGTGGGCAGCTTTTGTGCAATTTCAAGAGACAGAATCCCCACAAACTTCATAAAAGCAAAGGTTAAAGATGCAACAAAGTTTTTTGTTGTTTGGTGGTTTTTTTTTTCTTGGATTGTTTGTGGTTTTTTTTTCCTTTTTTTCTTTAAGATGAACAGGGGAAAAGCATGCAGGAAATTTAGGAATCTAGGCAAGTACAGAGCTCCTTTGTTTTTAATTAGCTGCGTTGTTTTTAATTGCTACTATGCTTGATACATAACCCAGCCTAAACAAGAATAGCTTATTGAATGGAGGACTGACTATGAAAGGCACTAAGAGAAGAAGAGCTGTTCTTCACAGTTGATATATTTGTATTTCAGTGCTTCATTTAATAAGTCTGTTTCCCCAGGGGGCTGTAGCAAGTAAATCATGCCAACAGATTGTTCTCTGCAAACTGGCTTATTTTTGTAATTAGCAAAACATTAAAGCTGTAACTGCATAGAAAGCGATCTGGGTGAGGATTTAACATAAAAGAATTAGTAAGCACAATGTAATACTTACTCTTTGATAACATTTGTGTTGATTGAATTGGTTTCTGGACAGTTTGTTGTGTGCAGTGGTAATCTTTTTTCTGCAGCATCATAAAAAGGGAGCGAGGTTCAGCAGGTGTGCACAGCAAGGGTAGCAAGGTGTGGTTTTCCTAGGGAGCCCGTTTTGGGAATCACCCCTGCATGGCCAGGTAGACCTGGTGGAGAAGCCTTGCTGGGGGTTAAAGCCATCCTGCTCATCACCAGAAACTGCCAGTATTTCCCTTGCTTCAGTTTGTGTTTCTCCTTTGTTTTCCAGTTATATGAAAAGTACGGTGTCACCATGAGTGGGGTATTGAAAAGGAAGTATGAAGAGCTGGGGGATGACAGTACCTACTGCTCCTCCTCCTCCTGCTCCCCCCTCTCGTCTTCAGCGTCTTCAGGCTGGGAGACGGATGAGGAGAGCTCCCGCGGAGAGCCCAAGCCTAGCTCTGCCTTAACGCCCAGCTTCACCCGTGAGTATCTCCATCAGCCACTTTCCTGCAACCAGACTTTCCTCTGTGTTTTTTTATGTAGCAGGATGGTGGGTTATCACCATGCAGAGACCCCCGTTGGAGCACACCTTTAGGAGTAGAAGCAGCCAGCTCCCTGTCATTATGCCAGTTTATCTTCGTTTTGTAATGGGCCAGCATCCTCAGGCTAGTCTTCCTTAGCCCTTCCTCCCAGCATTTATTGTTCTTTACAGTGCTTTTGCTGAAGTCCAAATTTCCAGTAATATAAACCCAAGGACTTGGCTGTGCACAGGCATGCAGGGGCCTCCAAGCCAGTGCTGTGGACCAGTCCCACCATCCCTTAATCCCCTGTTAAGCTATTCCATAGCCAAAACCCAAACAGACAGCAAAGGCCCAGAACACTGGTTTTAAAAAATGATTAACCAGTGGTGCAATTACCATTTCAGAACTTGTTTCCTACTTAAGTTGGGTACTTTGCCAAAGAACATGACACATTTGACATTGCCTCCACTGTTAGTACAGATAAATGCTATTTTGTTTTCCCAGCAATATCAGTTTTGAGAGCTTTTAGGAAAGCACACAGAAGACAAGGTCATAAAATTCTTTATCTGCCATGTGAAGGGAAAAACAAAAGATACAATAGGGGAACATCTTCACAGAGAAGAAATAGTCCAACCTAGTAAATTATACTGAACACCCACTGTATGTAGCAGTTAAGGTCCACTTAGCAGACATACACAAACACACAGCGGTCTGAAAAGGCTTTAGAAGTCTTGTAATAATAAAGAGTCTCATTCTTGCTTGTCTTCCCAGGTTTTGTGACAAAACAATGAACTTTTTGTATTCTCTGGCTCAATTGGAAAAGGGTCAGGAATGGGAAAACAATTTCAGAGGAGGGGTGCAGGGAGAGAGAAGCAAATGCCAAAGTGCAGCAGCTCAGCTGATAGATGATCGCAGTGGTTAACATGCCTTTTGATAAAGAGCTAATGTTTTAGAAGATTGAGTCAAAGTTATTATGAAAATGCAACACACAGTGCAAAGATACCATCAAAGTGACTGCAGGGAGCAGTGTGAAACCCCCAGCTCTTCAGCAGAAGCTGCTGATGCAGCTGGGTGAACATTTGGGGTTTTTTTTTATGTGAAACCGAAATGCTGTATGTTTGGCAAGTGAGACTTGTGAAACATGGGTGCAGCTAACTGTCCGGTCTCGCACTTTCCCAGCCTTCAGGGCCAGCCAAACCAGCCGAGCCCCTAGGGTTTTCAGCAGCCCTTTTGGTTAGCTCCCCACATAGAACTGCCTGCAACTCTGCCACCCAAAGGGGGCTCAGATCCAGCTTTGTGGGAGTCACCAAGCCTTTTTGGCTTATTTTATGCAACCAAGGCATCTATGCACCACGAGAGAACAGGACCAAGAAACCGCACCACTGAATTTCTGCATAGCTGCTCTTGTCCCTGACATGCTCATGCATCAGAAAAGGCAGCTCTATAACCTACCACCACATTTCAGTTTGCTTTCCATGGCCAGCTACATTTGTGGAACCTCACTGACTCTGAAACTGCCCTGGTTAATTAGTCCTGCTTCATCTGCTACGTTTGCATGTGCAAATGTGCAGAACCAGGTATCTCTGGAGAGGCTCCGCTTTAAATGGTGTGTAGCATGTTTCAGCAGTTTAAGATAAACCAGAGTCATGTATTGCCGTGTTTACCCTGTGATCACCTGCATAAAGATTAACATCTTTGCAGCTGCTATTAAATGAGTCTCTTGAGAATAAAATATAGATTCATAGTTCCTCCCAGTGGATGATGAAAGGAAGTACCAGGAAAACAGACATTTTGGCTATTTTCTGCCGTGCCACAAGAGCTGGAGCCATATGGCACTGGAGTGCCAGTGTCCTGGCAGACACGAGCTTCTTAAATGTGGGGCAGGGTGCTTGGGGTTAAAGCAAGACAGGCATGTAGGATAGTTTGTTACTTGTTTGTTATGCTCTGCTGCATGTGAAGAATAAGCAAATGTATGTTTCCTGGAGGAAGTCAGGTAAGGAGAAGCAGTGAAGAAGGGTGAATCTGATCGGTGACTCCAGTGCGCATCAGGATTTGGCTTAGTTTCCTCTCCAGCCTTATCTGACCTTTGAAGTATTAGATCCTAAAACATCAGAAGCTATCAAGCAATGTTGTAAGCTTGTCCCATCATGTCTTTGTTGAGAGAGTAATTGCACGTCCTGCCTGTTTCTAGTATTTACAGCCTGTTTGTAGTATTTCTGTCCTGCCTGCAGGATGGCAGTACTGACTTTGTGCTGTTTCTTTCTTCCCCCCTTTTTAGCCACATCTATCCTGAAGAAATCCAAGCGGCTAAAGAAGAACAATGTGGAGTTTGACCGGGTCACTGTGTTTTACTTCCCACGCTGCCAGGGGTTCACAAGCGTGCCTAGTCGCGGGGGCTGTACCCTGGGGATGGTGAGCAAACACAGCTCCTCCCGGCAGTTCACGCTAGCAGAGTTTTCAAAGGAACAGGAAAACGTTCGTCGGGTGAAACTGGAAGAGAAATTAAAAGAGGAGAAGTTGGAGGCATTGAAATGGAAAGTGAGTATAGGAGTATGGGGCTGGGTTGATGAGGAACTGGTGGATGTCATTAGTTAATGGCCAGTCTTCCTCCTAGGAGCCTCTCTGAGACCTGGGGACATTAGTTCTTAACTCTGTTTGGGTCCCAGAAAAACACAGGTTCCCCTGTGGGATTTTCAGCACAGTTCTCCACCTTTGAAAAGTGATGGAAAAGACCGTGAACTCTATGTGTCAGGTGTCTGTCAAGTCTTTGGGGGCTCTGACACAGATGTTGGTCCTGTTATCCGCCAGAATGGGGGGCAGATATTTCCTTTCTTGTTTCTTCTGACCTGGGGGTGCTGATGGCTCTTTGTCCCCAGCACATCTCTAATGCTTTGCCCATTTTTTTTGCCCATAGCTAACCATGAATGGCACAAAGGAGTCAGAGGAGGCCAACCAGCTCACTATTGAAGACATCTCTGATGATGACATCGATGTCAGCAACGTGGACCTGGAGGACGGCTTCTTTCTCCAGCCCTACCCTGCCAAGAAGAGGCGTGCACTGCTGAAAGCCATGGGGGTGAAGAAGATCGACAAGGAGGAGAAGCGGGAGCTGCACAACATCCGCCTGTCCCGGGAGGACTGTGGCTGCGACTGCCGGGAGGTCTGCGACCCAGAGACCTGCAGCTGCAGCTTGGCAGGCATTAAATGTCAGGTACTGCCCTCGCCTCTGGGCATGGGGGAAAAGCTGGGGCTCCAGCTGACATCGATGTTGTAGCAGGAAGGGTTTGAGCAAGCAGGATACATTTAGGACAGCCTGTAAAATACATCTGTTCCCATCTGTACTCAGAGCAAAGCAGGCAAGAAAAGCTCTTGGAGATGCCTCCCAGGCTGCAAAGCAGACGCTACTCAGAAGCATCTGATTCCCAAATCACACGTGCAGCCATCCCATGTTGCCGCTGCAGCCATGGAGATGTGCCCAAGCCTGCAGTGTGAATGCACCCGCCTGTTCTGTCCCCACAACAATTGTACCTGCTTGGTCTCCTGTTGGAGATTGGCAATGTGGGAATGTCTTTGCAAATGGAAGCTTCTTGCTCCTCACACGAGGCTGTGACTTCTCCTCCTCCCCCTGCTTTTATTTTTAGTTTCATTTCCCTTGGTGTGTCACAACTCCCAGCGTGTGCAGGCAAACGTGGGAGTGCCAGCTGAGTGTCACCCTGTAGCTAGCTGTGCCGACCACCTCTGTATTCCATTAGCTTATTATATCTTTCATGTTATTTGTTATGGATGCCTGCCCAGCTGTGCCTGGGGAGCCATATCCTGTATTCAGGGTGCCGCTGGCTCCCTTGGTGTTGTGGTTGCAGGCTGGGGCTGATGTAGAGTGGTTGTGCACAGGCAGGTGGGTGCACACAGGGGGCCGGGTGCTCCATGAGTGGGACACAGCCCCCCTCTAGCGGCTGCTGCTAACAGGGACATAAAGGTGCTGCAGATGCCTGTTGGGCAATTTGTCCTTATCTTGGCGAGTGGCAGAAGTGCATGATATGGATCATGTATTAAATACCATGATGCAATATATAAAAAACTCACGTTTGCCCCTTTATGTCTTATATTTTTTTATATTATATTTTGTTTTTTCGAAATCTTTTAACTTCAGTTTTACTGAAACCCAACTTTTTTTATGACAACCCTTCAAAAGAACAGGGTGCCTTTTTTATTTATTTTGTTTTTGTAGCCTGCTTTTAAACCCCTCAGCTGTTACTTAGTTCCTCAAGGTGGGTGAGTTGTGGGTGGTTTCAACTCTCTGCTGCCAGGTTTGGTCCTAACCCTCCACCTCTGCTTCTCCCTGTGCCAGATGGATCACACCTCCTTCCCCTGTGGCTGCACCAAGGATGGCTGTGGCAACACTGAGGGCAGGATCGAGTTCAACCAGGCCCGCGTGCAGACCCACTTCATCCACACCATCATGAAGCTGGAGCTGGAGAAGCAGCAGCAGAGTAGTGAGAAGGTGGCAGAGGCCGAGCCCCCCTTTCGGGAACGGCTCCCACAGTTGGGATGTGCAACAGGGAAGGGCTCTTTGGAGGAGCGTGCAGTGCCGCTGGCACCCGCCTTCCAGTTCAGCCCTGACCTGGAGGCCTTGGGGGAGAACAGCTGCAGCAGTGACATGACAGACTCCTCCATCTCCTCCCACCCCAGTGAGGACCTGGAGGAGCCCTACGAGAGCCTCCCCTCCGACAAATCCCAGTCGGATGTGGATGACGATGGCTTGGCACGCATCCTCCACTTCAACGACTCAGATGCCGAGGAAGAGGGTGGCCATGGTCATGATGACCTGAGCTGCTTCCACCCCACCGATTTCTTCATCGAGGACCATGGTGATGAGCCTAAGCCTGTCCCTGGCCACTTATCCCACCTCTCCGAGTGCCTGGATGAGAACGCTAACCAGGACAGTGGCAGTTTGCTGGAGGATGCTGCTCATGCACGGTGCGATGGACTGTCCTGCTGCACCTCATCCCCAGCTGAGCCCTGTTCCAGGAGCTACGCTGACCTCAGCCTTTCCTCAGACTCCTTGGATTTCTTCCAGTCCTTCTCAGACTATAATTTGGGACCCCTTTACAACTCCTTGAAGGAGTACGAGAACCTCGATAACTTCTCAGCGTTACAGTTTCAGTTGCCTAATTTTCCAGGTTTCCCACAAGCTGGAGACCAGGGCTCCTGTTTCTTGGAGTCCCTTATTGGTTTGTCCGAATCTGTCCCTGAAACCCCAGCCCCTTTCACAGACAATCAACTTTTGGAGGATGCCATCAAGTCATCGCTGATGGAGACGGTGAAAGTGTGAAATGCTTGAGCAGCGAGGAACAGCCTGAAGGAAAACCGAAGTGGGCAAACTTGCACCAAAAGGATGATGTGTTACTCAAAAATAAGGAGAAAAAAATCAAACAGAAAAGGACTTTCTAAGCAAACAAACTATTTTTGGTCTTTGTAGAACGTGGACGTTTTGACATACTGCAGCTACAATCAGTTCTCTCACTGTTTGTGCAAAAATTTCTAAACTTTCATGATGGGGTGGGGAGGGAGGGAAAAAGACTTTCACGTATGAGTTTCCTTGTGTTTTGTATGAAAAGACCTGTAGAGAAATACTCCTCGCTAACATTGCCAGTCGTACACACAGCCCCTTCTAGAAATGTTTCAGTGTTGCAGGAACTTTTTAAGGCAACTTTTTGAAGCTGTATTTATTGTGAAAATTTGTGGTTTGCGTAAGAGTTAGCCCAGCAGGCTCTTGCGTTTAAATCGGACAAGGTTTACAGAAGAGATCCATACACTATATACATAATCATTCTTCATCTATTTATTGCAAATTCCAGAATTTAACTAGGCACCGAAGCTTGAACTAGCATGGAACCTTATTTAAATTGGTAATACCTCAGATGTATTATGTGTACAATCATATTTTTTTGCATAATATATCTGTATTTATTTATTTTCTACCTGTAGTACATGAATAGCACTGTGGTTTGTCAATGACCTGGAAGGGCAGTAATGTCTTCAGCAGCACCCATCCTATAGATGACCATGGATTTTCTGAGTCTGAAAGATGTTAGCTGTTTGGTCTTCACCTCACATTTCCAAAAGAGTCAAATGCAAGCGGCTGGGAGGGATGGGACAAATGTTTGTTCAACATCCTTTGGTTTCTGTCAATAGACGTGATGATGGTGTCTGATCTCCATAATATTGTAATAGAGAGCACAACACACAAAGCCTTCAACTGTTCCAGAAATAACATGAACTAGCTCTAAACAAACAAAACCAACCCAAACACTTTTTATAAATTATTTAATAATTTATTTAATCTCTTAAGGATTTGGCCATGAGATCTTTCCTGATCAATTATGGTGCCTGAATATGCAGAGGAACTGTTAGCAAGGGTGGGGATGTAACTAGAAGGACCTTTGTGGCCCTAGGGGGTCTTTGGGAGAGCAAAGCCAACAACAGCAACACTGTGCTCATGCTCCTCAGCGAGTGCTCCCCAACATCAAAGGTACCACAGCTCCAAAATCTAGTGGGTCAGACTATTTATACTATATATTTTTTCTATAGGTAAATCAGGTAAATCAAGTAAAAGAGGTGGATATGAAGGTTATTGGGTTATTTATCTTTTGAGTGCGGTTTTAGAGAAAAGAAAGAATAACAGTTGAAAAGAAAGCTTGAAAACCTTGAAGGCTTTTGGTTTATAGAGATTACTGCATTTAGGAAGAATATTAGAGGCCCTCTTGGCCTCTTGTTATTTAAGTCAGTTTGAGAACATGACACTATTTGGCCATGAGATGTAACTGGACATAAAATCTGTAGGTCAGTGAGACACTAAGTGCCTGCGCCAGTGGTATGTTAAAAAACCAGCAATGGCTTTGAAACCTACCAGCTTTAAATCCCATCTTGGAAAATGTGAGATTTTTGTAATGGGAATGATCCCTGGCACTACCGGTACTGAGGGAGGTGGCAGCTTTGGTGTCCTGGCCCTGCTGCTGTGGGAGTGGGATGGTGGGCTGCCCTGCATGTGCAGAAACACCCAGACGGGGAAAACCGCAAAATATGGATTTGAGGATTTTTCCATTGTCTGAAGTGTTTATATCCCTGACAGCAGGGATGGTGATGCTCTTGGGTACCTGCTATTCCTGCCAGCAATTTAGGGAACTTCTGGCATACAAATATGGTGAAGGCTGGGTTGCTTGGGTGTTAATCATTATTATTACTATTTAATTGTACATCTTCTCTGGTATTGAGCCAGTCAACTTGGAAGTGGAGCTGACCCGCTGTGGCTGTGAGCGGGTGTTCGCCCTGTGCTCGCTGCCACATCCTCCTGCAAAGCATCACTCCCGGAGACCTCCCCGCTGGGCAGGAGGGTGACTGTAGGAATACTACTGGCAGATAGAGGATTTCCTGGATATATATATATATAATTATTGTTATTATTGTTAATATTTTTTGTTGTTGTCCTTTTTTTAGACTGAAAAATCCCATTCAGTTATCTCCTAGGTGGTAGTTTCTATCCTTCAGACTGCATCAAAAATACTGACAGTTGAAAGTCTGGTACCATTCTGTATTTATTGGCACTAATATATTTTATAACATTCCTAGGTTTCTCTGCATATATATATATATATAATATATACATATTTTTTATATATATATATATATACACACACACACTTTTTTAATGAATACCGGGATAGACTCCTGCCTTTGTGGATTCTTTTTTTCTATAATTTATTCTTTTTATTTGTGTTGGTGCCAAAAGAATTAAAAAAAAAAAAAAAAAAAAAAGATTTTTTTAAATCTTTTTCTTTCCCCAGGGCACTGAATTGTAAATATTTTATTTTTTTTCCCTTCTTGGTATCTGTGTAAAAAGTTGCCTGTTAAACAGTTTAAAAACTGGGTATTTATTGACACAATCTGTAATTATCTAATGTATTGATTGAAACGCTTTGGTTTCAACATAGCTTTATTTTAGCTTTCTTTGTGTATATATTGTGATTATGTTGCTTAAAGGTACAAGTTAAAAAAAAATGCTTTATTTTTACCTTATTCATTTGCATTTGTTTATAAAAAAAAGCATATTTGTCTACAGCTGCTGTCTCTCATTTCATCAAAGCAATATGAAGAAATTTCCATTACACTTTCAATAAAAGAATTTTGTTTGAATATGGTAGCGTCTTCACCCTGTTTATTCTTCACTGTGGCTCAAAAATGTGGATGATGAGTGTGTGTATGCTGTGTTGTAGTTGTCCCTTTTTTGTTTGTTCTTTTGCTTTTTCAACCGCTTTTGAAGTCAGTGGGTGCTCTGGGGTTCCCACCCCAAGTGTTGAGATGGGAGCATCCTACTAGGGCTGCCTGGTGACCTCGAAGATGCTTCTCCTGAGCTTTGGGATGCCCATTCTTTTCTGAGCCCCCCAGAAGCAGCCCAGGGAAGAGCATCCCCATGCCCTCACATGGGGGAAAGGCATGTGGGGAGCCTCCAGGGCTGAGCACCAGCATAGGGCCTGTCAATGAGAAATCAACCCTAAGGTCAGAGCAAAGGGGACACCGTCTCCGGAGGAGGCATGGAGTCAAGGGAGCCCATTGATCTCTGCAGAGCGCTCCTTCATGCATGGCTGCTGGGTAAGTAAATGGGGGGCACTTCCCAGGTAGCCTCCAAGGTGTCCCTCTAACCACACTGATGTCTCCTCAACACTGAAATGTAGCGGGAACACTTACCAGAGCCCTGGGAGGTCACACAAGAGATGCTCTTGGGGCAGCTGGAGATGCACAAGGGGTGCTCCGAAGTCCCTCTGCCTTCACCCAGAGATGGGTTTCATTGCAGAAGAGCACGCAGTGCCAGCCCCTTTCTAAGTTAGAGCACATCTTGGCTGGGAGGGAGGCTGGGCTGGCAAGAGCAGTTTGCACCAAGGCTGGGACTACAAGTGACCTTTTTGGCAATTTGCCTTATTAATTTGAGGGCAAAAATATGATGCAATGCCTTGGCAGAGCAAGATCCATGGCCTGGAGAGCAGCTCCTGAAGTTCCCAGGGTGTTCCTGGCTGCTCAACAGCAGTGGCCCCAGCAGATCAGCTTGCAGTGGCATGTGACAATTGTCCTGTTCAAGTCACTTCCTGCTCCACCAGTGTCACTTGTGTGACAAAATGCACTTTTTCCTTATTCCCTTTAGAAAAGGTAAAAATCAGTGCATAGGACTGGGGTCTGGCTGTGTTGTTTCCTGAGCTTGTTTGGCTTGTGAATGGTGGCTGCACCTCTCTATAGGACGACTGAAAAGACAACAGTCATGGAAGCATCCCCACCACCTAGAAACATTTAGGAGAAATCTTGGGAAACCCTTCGGAAAGCCTGGAAACCCCTTTCTCTTGCTGGCTACAAACCGTTTCTCATCACCTCATGGCACCCCTGGGGCCTGGAAAGATGCAGCCAAAAAGAAGCATCACCATGATCCCGCAACCCAGGGAAAAAGCAGAGAAAATACACTTCATCCTGGCAACAGCAGGGAAATAAGAAGGGAGTGAGGATGTGAGCCAGCCCATGGTGCAAAGGAAAGGCTGAATAAAACCCACAAACCTGGATGGGGAAACGCATACCTACTCCATGGGCTTGTGTCTGGCAGCCCAGGCATGTCATAACCACTGGCATTGACCTGAAAGCGAGGGAAATGGGACCACAAATGCTGCTGTCTGGTTTTCCATCGGGAATCCATTTTTAAAAGATGCCATCTGCCCCAGAGCAGAGAGGCTCAATTAATTGAATAAACTATTTGTTACAAATTATTTGCTGGGCCATAAAAGCAGCAATACTGCGAAGAGGCCTGTCCATGGCTGGTTGGTGAAGCCTGGCCCCAGTTTTCCCTTCCAGAAGGCTGTGTTTGGTTGTGGTATTGTTTCCTTTATGGGGTTTATGCCTGTAATTCCCTCATCTGATTGGGAGGGGAAGAACCCGCAGCATACAGCTGCTGCACTGGTGGGGTTTTGGCTTATGGTGATGACTTTGCACCATACCCTGGCAAAGGGCATTGTGGTGAGGGGTTGTGCCACCTGCCAAGGCACAGTGCCGCATCCCATCAACAGCCTTTGGCATGGGCATCTCCTTGCGAAAGCAGCAGAGTTGATCACAGGCTCTTTGTGCCAGAGGAGTTAATGTTTGCTTTGGAAAGAGAGACAGGAGAAGCCCTGGTGGAGTTTCCCTGGCTGGTTGGGGACCATCTCTCTGCAAGGTGCTCATGTTAAAGGCATGGACCCTCTGATTTCATAGGGCTGCACCTTAAAAGGGGTGAAACCAGGTGCAACCCTTGTTTTGTTCCCCGGCTGTGGCAGGGTTGAGAAGAGCTGACAGGGCCAGGTTGGATGTGGCTTTGAGCAACCTGGTCTAGTGGAAGATGTCCCTGCCCATGGCAGGGGGTTGGAACTGGATGAGCTTTAAGGTACCTCCCAACCCAAACGATTCTATGATTACATGATTCTATGACTTCCTGCCCCAATCCAGTGGCACAGATCCGGGACTCATGCCCTGTTCAACAGCAGGCAGCGGTGCTCCTTCCCATCCCCAGGAATCAGTGATTCACTGACCCCAATTAAACCCATCTGTGTACTCCCCACGTTGCTTAGGGCTTCATCAACCCCTTTATTTTCATTCATTTTCTGTTCTCCCCCCATACAGCCACCCTGTTCGCCCTGCTTGCTACACCCGGAGGCTTGGTATTACTCATTGCCCGCTTTCGTTTCATTTTCGGGTGCCTGCATGCGCTGAACCATGCGTGTAGCCCCCAGACTAGAAAGCATTTCCCTCCGGGTGGGGGAGCAGCCTCCGGAGCAGGGACGAGTCATTTGATGACCCATGGCAGGCAGGGAGGGGGGACATTTCCATAGGGGGATCGCTTGTCTGGCTCACAGAAGAAAAAGGCAGGCTGTGTGACACAGGCTGCCCCTAGGCCTTGTGCAAAGGTAATGAAAGTATC